GGGATGTCTTTCAAAATTCTAATAGTATTGTCCCCAATTTTCAAAGGTGACCCTGCAGTTGCTCTCAGGATAGAATCCCTCATGTGCCTCTTTGAAAATCTGATTATTATTTCCCCAGGCAGATTCTTCTTCTTTATGTATACGGAAAAGGACCTGTAGGCCACATCCATCTCACTCATAAGGTATTCCGCCTTGAAATCTGTCACTGGGGCCAATGCTTCACTCATTATTTGCTTCAGATTTTCACTTTGGATTCTGGGACACCTTGGAATCGGAGGACCAGGTTTGCCTTCTCCATTTGCAGCTGCAAAAGTTGTTCTTCTGTAGAAACTTGCTTCTTTTCCAGTTTTTGCACCTTTTTCTTCACCTTTTGAGTACTTTCACTTTCTCAGCTGTTTGCTCCGTAATCTTAAGAGTCTCGTTCAATTGTAACTGCTGAGTAGTGATGCTTTGGTTCATCGTTGACAACTGTTCCTTGAGATTTGTCATCTGGTCCAGCAGGGGGTGCAGGGATTCTGTATGGCATTGAGCTTTTGATGAATTGGGGTGATGATTTCCTTTAGTTCTTTTTTCATCTCTGTAAACATAGCTTGGATATCTTTTTTTGTTATTGAATCCTTGCATTTTCTTTTGCCCGTTTGGGATGTTCCTTCTTCATCTGTATCTGCTTCCAACGGGGGGGGGGGGCTTTTGGTAAGACTTTTGAGGAGGGCTTTTTGGGGGATGTCATCAGTATATTAACAACACTCAGGAAGTGGACCTACTTGATCCATTTTCTAGAGGCAGTGATGAACTAGTTGAGAGTGAACAAAAATTTATTTCAGACAAGAGGAGAGTGCAGTTAGTAGTGATTTCAGCTAACCTGGGTGATGGCAGTTCCCTATTTTTGGATTGAGTTTTAATCACCCTGAAGGCTCAGGTCCTGTGTGGTTTTATCAGTGTAAGCTTATCTGCCAACTGTAAACCATCCAGAAGAAATCTTACCTGGTTTAAATGGCACATTAGGTGATAGCTTGAAATTTAGATTAGTTGCCTTTTGAAAGCTTTGCCACCATTCCTTCAAATTATAAGCAGGTTGCCTAAAACCTGGGTGGCTTCCGGTTGTGCTTCCTGAAGAGCTAAGGTTTTTTCACTTTTATTGTCTGCTGTCTGTTCTTTTGGACTTGCTGGTTTGGATTTTGCTTTGCTTTTGTTTCAAGGCAGCTATTTTGGCAGGCTTGAGTTTCTTTTCAGGATGTTTTCTCTTCATTCATTCTGATAAGATGCTTGGCATACAGAGACTGAGCACCATCCTCCTCTTCTATAGCTGTAGTTTTCCAATGGCAACCTTTTTCATCTCATGATTTATTTATCTTATTGTTTATTATTTTCATTGGGTTTAATTTGGGTTTCTCATGAGAGGGTTCTATACTTTTGTTGGCATTATTACTGATATAATTTTAAGGATATACTTTAGAGTTAAGTATTTGGAAGTGGGTCAATGGGACTAAGAGGGTATTATTTTTTAATGACTTAACATCACCCCTTCCCAAACAAAGTAAAATAGATTATTATTTTGCCAGTTTCCTCTTTTTCTGTAACAAACAAATATAGTTGTTTTAACAATGATGTGCCAGCCCGTTCTGGGGATACTGTTGTGGAAGAACGAGCTCCTTCTTCTCTACAGAGACCAAGGAGGAGAAGGGGTTTTAGTTTGCCTAGTGATTATCTTCCTTGTGAGGATAAAGGAGTCTAGTGAAGAGCCTATGCTCATTGATCTTATTCCACTTTCTCAGCAAGTGACTGATCCTTCCTCATTCTCTGTTACTCATCAGATAAAGGCCTAAAAGGATGAGACAACTAAGGCAGGCATGGGATTTCACTTCAAACCAATGGAAACAAATCTGATTGAATCATTTGGGGCTTTACTTTTTGGTGAGCAACCCCACCTAATTAATAAATTGAAAACTCTTCAGAGAGCCTTGGAAAGTATCTCTTTTTCTTCGCTCATCTGAATTAGCCCAGTATCCTAGTAGTCAGCCAATAGTAGTGCTGGAGGACCCTACTGAGCTACTGGTGAAGCAAGGATTTCTAGTTCCTCTAGGCTACTATAAATGTTCTATCTGGGTTTGGGGGTTCTGGGATGGATGCTCAATAGGGTCATGTGGCCTTTTTTTTTGGTGCTAAACAGAATTTTTCTTTTCCACTTGAACTTAAGGTAATTGTTAAATAACCTAGGCCTGTAACTGGATAAACTAGATCTTATAATGATTCTTTCCAACAAATCCATGTCAGCCAATGACTGGAAAATGTCTCAAATGTACCAAAGGGACAGTATTTGAAACTGCTGTCCTGGACCATTGCTGGAGAGAAACTTAAAAGCTCCTCCCCAGAAATTAAAGAACTATCGGCACAGAATGACTTTGTTTCTTCAGGAGACCTGGGCTCTAGACAAAATCTTGTTTTTAGGGTTTCGTGCTATTCAGTCTGGTGGTAAAGGTATCTTTAGTTTGATATCACTGTCATTATGTCTTAAAAGCTTCCCACTTCCTAATTTCCTTCCTTGGGCATTAGCAGTTCTTATTGAGATTGGTCCCTTATTTTAAATACTTAGGGATCTGGTTTGACCAGAGATTAACTGGGTCAGTGCAAGCTGCTCATATTAAAAGATTGGCTACAGCGGCATCAAATATTATCTGTCGATTCTTCTGTTCATCTGAGGCTCAGTATATCTCAGCTACTATCAAACTGTTAAATGCCAAGGTGGCCGCATAAAGTTTATATGGGGCTGGTATCTGGATTGATAAAATAGGGGAGTCCTTCGATTCAGTTATTCTTGTTCCTACATTCCATCTTTGGAATTCCAAATTGTGTAGCTGGGGTAGCCCTCCAAGGAGCACTGGGACAACCATCTCTTGAAGCTCCAGCCTGCCTGAAGGCTTTTTCCCTTAAAGTTAAATTGTTACACTCTGACATCCAAGAGGGCTACCTCGGCTTAGTCAGAGAGGATTATTGAGTTTCCCACTGGGATAAACTTGTCGAGCAATGACTCCAGTTCCTCAGTCTTTCCTTGGACTCCCTTTTCTCAGTTATCAAACAGGAAGCCCTAAGAATAATCAAGAAACATCTATTTAAGTACCAGTATAACAGCACGAGCTGCGGTAGCTCAAGTGGTTAAGACGCTGAACTGCAGGCTGTGGAAGGTCGGTAGTTCAGCAGTTCGAGACCCGAGTGTGCTGCATGGCGGAATGAGCTCCCGTCTCTAGTTCCAGCTCCTGCCAACCTAGCAGTTCGAAAGCAAGAAATTGCAAGTAGATAAATAGGTACCACTTCGGTGGGAAGGTAACAGCGTTCCATGCGCCTTGGTGTTTAGTCATGCCGGCCACATGACCACGGAAATGTCTTCAGACAGTGCTGGCTCTTCGGCTTTAAAACGGAGATGAGCACCGCAACCCTAGAGTCGGATTCAACTGGCTTTCGAGCAAGGGAACCTTTATAACAGCACAATCTGTAGAGCACGACATGTTTGTTCTGCTCATTGTTGGTATTCTGTGACCTGGAGAGCTCCCCGGTTACTACTCATATTTGACTGTTCCTCGCTATAGGTGTGCCTTTATGTTGGCTTACCGTAATGCCCTGCCTTCTAGAGTTTTGCAAGAGAGGTATCTTAAGAGCCAGTTTGGTGTAGTGGTTAAGTGCGCGAACTCTAATCTGGGAGAACTGGGTTTGATTCCCCACTACTCCACTTGCACCTGCTGGATGACCTTGTGGGCAAGCCATAGCTCTGGCACAGCTGCTTAAAAAAGAGCAGTTTCTGTCAGAGCTCTCTCACAGGGTGTCTGTTGTGGGCAGGGGAAGGGAAAGGAGTTTGTAAGCTGCTCTGAGACTCCTTTGGATAGTGAAGGGTGGGGTATAACTTCAATCTCTTCTTCTTCTTCTAAGATCCATACTCTGATAGACTATACAACTATGGTGCAGGTTGCATAGACACCCTGTATCATGTGACCTTTGAATGTAATCTTCTTAGCCTAGAAATCATTCAGTTCTTCCCCTGTGCCCAGATATAGATCATATGGAGACATTACCTCTTTTATGAGAAGATAATAGCAGACCTATCATTCTTCTAGCTGTTCAGTTTTATGCATCTGTGATAGATTTTTGCAGCCGTTCAAATGGGGGTCTAGCTTTTTCTGTATTTTAGTCAACTGCTTAAAACTAATAAGTTGAGAAGCAGTACGAGGTAGAGAGGGTTAACTGCTTTTTGACCTGAGGCTTTTTCAGCTGGCAGAGCAGTCTCATTGTTTCCCCAGGTATGGTTCCATTATGTAAATCTGCTGCTGTTTTCTTCAAGTTATCTTATTTCCCCCCAGTTGTGCTGTTTTTAAAATGGAGAAGGGGAGAATGGCGTAAGCTGCTTTGGGTCTCCACTGGGGAGAAAGGTGGGATATAAATGAAGCAAATAAATATATTGTTCTGGTGTGTTTTTATCTTTGATTTTATTGAGGTGTAATTTGGTTTTGTAACGGAGGTAATTTTCCTGATGTAGCTGTTCAGGAGGTATTTTTTACTGAACATGAGCATGAAATATTTTAATTATTTCCATATTAGTTGTTATATGCTTGTGACAGACGTTTGATAGTATGTTTTTTATGTAAGGTACGGTCTCCCAGAATTCCTCAATGTCATACTCTCAAGAAGCCAGACAGTTCTCTCAGTCTCAGAATCCATCTCCTGGAAGTAGCAGCCCTCGACCATCTGTGATAGGGCGTACAGGTCAGCGCCCCAGAGGTGATGGTCAAGACTGGGATGCAGCATCTTCCAGGTGAGGCAGCTGATATTAAGGATTTGTTAGAGGGTGGGGAATTAATTTAATTTTGATAGTCTTGGGTAAGTGGGATATCTATAAGCCAGGCACAGACAGCATGCATCATCTGAGGCCAATTGTACATTCTGTGGCCTGGGTAGGTTATAGTAAGAATTTTAAAAAGAAAGATGCTAACGTCTTTGAAAGTATGCTTAAACCCTTACCCCATTCCATCAGTCCCTTGCAGGCATCAGGCTCATTCTGCTGCATAGGTGCAGAGATCTTTTCATGCAAACAGAAGTGTGGCGCTTTCTCTCCTTTTTGCATGAATGTCAGGCTTATAGATCCCATGCTTACACAATGCCCTGTGTTAGGGTACATGACTCTCATGACTTTATTGTTTCCCTTTGCTGCCTCTGCTACTATATTGTTGGAAGTGAAATCTGAGTGGAATGGCCACATGGTCTGCAGCACTGAGAGAGGGCTGGTAGAGGCCTTTCATAGGTGGCTGAAGCAATAACAACAACAAACAAACAAACACTGCAGCAAATTACTTGGAGATGCCTTGACTCATGTTGGTCAATAGCTAAAAAGTTAGCAAGCAGAAGGAAGCATGTGTAGTTAGGGGATGCCTTGACTCATGTGTACATCAGATCTTGGTCAATAGCTAAAATGTTAGCAAGCAGAAGGAAGCACGTGTAGTTTTCTGGTACCTTAATACATAACCCTTTTTGCTCATGATGTGAAGCAGTTCTGAATGTCACTGAATCTGACTTGGTATACAGTAGTAAAAGTGTCATCTTGTTAGTGTAGCATTAAATAGTGTCTATGCCCACCTCCAGATTGTGGTAGCAGCCCCTTTAGCTGATGTCATTGTTGCTATGCCTTTGCTTAATTTTATGATTCTCACCAGTGATATCCCATATGATCAGAAGTGTTGTGGGCTAGGCTTTTTGCGCAACTCATTTCTTGCATAAAGTCTTTATCGTGCTGTGGGAATTTTATGCTGTGGGTCATTGTTGGGGAAGGGGGGTAAGAAAGGGGTACTATGATGGGTATCTGACAAATCCCAACCTCCCAATCCCCCAAGAATTTGTCAAGCTGTGTTTTTCAAGGCAACTGGGTTACTGCTATCTGTGAGCAGTGGGATGTATTTTGTGTACTAATGTTGCTGTTGTTTCACTTTTGTAGTGGAAGCAGTGCTCATGCAAATGCCAACTCCAGAGTGTATTCACCTTTAGATATGGGCTATATGGACCTGCCAGAACTGGAAAATGAAAACTCTTTGGAATTACAATTCCAACAGCTTAGTCTTCCTCAGTTCAGTGTGGCTATCTTGGAATATGCTGTACCTCTTCTAAGAATTCCAGAGTTTATTCACCTTTAGATATGGGCTATATGGACCTGCCAGAACTGGAAAATGAAAACTCTTTGGAATTACAATTCCAACAGCTTAGTCTTCCTCAGTTCAGTGTGGCTATCTTGGAATATGCTGTACCTCTTCTAAGAATAGGTAACTGAAAGAGCGGGATCATGTTTTCCTTGCTTGTGGTAATCTGGGAGCTCTGTACCATTAGGAATCCCCCCCCCCCCAAAAAAAATGAATATTTTTGTAAAGAAACTGTTAAAATGCTCTGTAGAGATACATGAAGTAGGGATAGGCAGTATATGAGCTGATTTGGCTGCATTAAATGTTAGGAAGCCAAATGTCTTTGTCTTAGAAAAACAAATGCAGCTTGTTGGTCTCATGGAAAAGACTGTCTGGGAATCCATTAACAATAATCATTAAGGATGGGCAACAAAGAGCCAAGGAGGAAATGCCAGAGTTTTATGTTATCTGGCTGTAACATTTGTGTATGGTATTTTGGAAATAAACAGCTGCCTGTCCTGGTATTCCTGGCAGCTACCAAACTTGTTGAACAGCCCCAGACTTATATAGCCACTGCTTATACAGAGTAGACCAAGCTGCCATTTTAAAGGAAAAAATTCAATTGGCTGCCATTTGTTTTTAAAGCAAATGCCTTTGTTCATTTAGCTGTCATGATTGATAAACAAGGTAAACAGAATAAGAAGCAAAAGGTGGGTGTGGCTGGATGACCACACTTCTGGTAACATGGGGGTGTGGCCTAATATGCCAATGAGTTGTGATGTCAGGGGTGTGACCTAATATGCTAATGCGTTTCTGCTGTTGGGTGTGGCCTATTATGCTAATGAGTTCCTGCTGGGCATTTTGTACAAAAAAAGCCCTGGTTGGCTGTAATATAGTGACATTAAATAGCTGTCATGTTGCCTGGAATACTATCAAAAGGAGTGGAGATCTGAACTAGAGGGATCCTCTTAATACTTGGAATGGTTCTAAATTTGTCAGTCTATGAGTTATCAAAGCCTTCCCTTTATCAAGAAAATATATATATAATTCAAAGGTTTTCTAAATTGCTAGGAATAAGTGGGATTAGATGCTGAGCACTGACATAAAATGCAAGAAAGAGATGTTCAGAATTCCAGTAATACTTGTTTCAAATTCCTGTCTTGAATGCTTTGTAGCGAGGAAATTAAGTTCTCTAACCTTCCCATGTGAATTCTTAGGTAGCAAGAGAATGATCATGCAGGTCCTCGAGTTGCTTGCTGAAGACCTACTGCTTATTGTGGATGCTGTATCAGAAAACGTTTGGGAAGAAAGCAGTCTCTTTGGGCTAGAACTTGTGAGTGTTCCAAGATAAAGATGTATAAAAATCTGCTTTTGTTAAAAAGGGATAATCAATTAAAATTTCTAGCCTATATCTTATCAAGAATTTGGAATGGGAAATCTTGTTACAATGCATAAAATATTTGGTTGTTGGGACCGCAGTCCTGAGGGTTGAAGTGGTTGCCATCTCAAACTTCTATCAAGGTGTGCTAGAAGGATGTTCTCCTTCAAGGTACTAGAAGCCCAGCTGATACTCTCCACAGAGGACTTTGGAACCTTCCTCCCAGGGAGATGGGGAGACAGGACTGCATTTATCAGATGCGTAGTGCTGCTTGGGAGGGCTTTCTTTTTCCTATATATTTCATCAGAGTGGCAAAGAGGCTCTGCGTCATAGGTAGGTGCTAAGGATATTCTTAGAGCCATCCTTGGAGAAAAGCACATTTTCTTCTTGGTTGTCTGTTGGTTGCTTGTTATTTCAGAAGATTTGTTGTTTGAGTATTTAAGACTATTATATAAGGTACCTTTGAGCTAATTGGAACTGTGTGTGTGTTAGGTGTGGCCATGTCACTTCTGACCTATGCCGACTCTTTGAATGAATGGCCCTGACTTGGGTAGCTCAGGCTAGCCCAATTTTGTCAGGTGTTGGAAGCTAAGCTGAATCAGCCATGGTCAGTACTTGGATGGGAATTAACACAGAGACTACAGACTTGAATCCCTTTAGGAGGAGTACACGTGCTTGAATGCTACATCTTCTCTGTGTTATGTGCCATCAAGTTTCTTTTGACTTATGGCAACCCCATTAATTAGTGCTCTCCAAAACGTTCTGTCATTGACAGCCTTGCTGAGATCTTGCAAACTGAAGGCCATGGCTTCCTTTATTCAGTCAATTCATCTCATGTTGGAGCCTTACTTTTTTCTTACTGCCTTGTACTAACCAGAGCTAATTCAAATCAGCTAGGAATTTCTTTTGCCTGAATTAACAGAGCCACTGGAACTTTCTCTAACTCTATTTGGAACTCTTCATATGTAACTGGAAGTAAAAATTTTTAGCTCAAAGGACAATTTGTGCAGCTTCTATAACTTTGGATTCGTTCAAGAAATAACTGAATTGAAGGTTGACGTTTATGAGATTGAAGATTGGCAGTTCATCTCTCTGGAACCTTAAAAAGTGAAGCTTTGATTGAGAGTCTCACGTTAGTGAATTTATCTGTTTTGATCTATTAGCACATTATAGGTATATTAGTGTTTTCTAATTAATGCTTGGCTTGTTTAATGTTTCATGGTTCTGTTGTGAGTTGTGTGAGTTATTTAGGGATTCCTCCCCTTGGATGCACACATTAATGTGGTGAGGGGGCTTGTGTGTGTCAGTGAAGCTGAGAGCAATACCATAAGGGGTCTAAACTTCTAGGAGTCACTCAAGGCAGAATAGTCGCAGCTGAGACACCAGACTAAGAGGCATCCGCCCTCTTCAGGGATTGATGGCCACATCAGCAGAAGAGAACACAGTTTCAGTGGTGATGGGTGGCGGAGGGATCCTTAAAGGGTAGCTACTGGGCAGCAGCAGCAGTGGAAGGTGACACTGGCAGTGGATCATTCGTAGACAGCAGCTGTGTCACTTCAGCTAACCCCAGTTAGTACTTCGCAGAAGAAGGCAATGACAAACCACTTCTGACCAACTCTTACCTCAAAAACCCTATGATGAGACAATCCAAAACGAAAAAAGAATTGTGCTGGAAGATGGAACCCCTTCAGGATAGATGCCACTCGGCTACTGAGGAAAAGCCGAGGACAACTGCGTCTAGTGCTACTCTTAATGATGCAGCCGAACTAAAGCTGAAAGGATGTTCAGTTGTTGATGTGAATGGATGTAAAACGAAAGTCCAAAGCTGTTTTGACACATGTAATAGGAACATGGAATGTGGGAAGTATGAATCAAGGTAAGCCTGAAATAATAAAATTAGAAATGGAACATTTAAAACATTGCAATCCTGAGAATAAGTGAACTAAAGTGGACTGCATTAGGACATTTTCAGTCAGAAAATTACAAAGTGTTTTACTTGGGAAATGACAAAGCACAGAAGAAAAGGAGTTGCTCTAATAGTGAGGAAATATGTAGCATAGGCTGTCAGGGGCCATAATAGAAAGTCTGACTGAATAATATCAATCAAACCTCAGGGAAAGCCTGTCAATGTAACCGTCATTCAAGTTTATATCCAAACTGCTGATTTTGGTGAAGAACAGACTGAAAGTTTTTATGCAAATGTCCAGGAAGAAATTAATCACACATCTGAGGAAGATGTGCTGAAAATCATAGGTGACTGGAAAGCAAAAGTAGGAAGCAAACCAGAATCAAATATTGTTGGAAGATTTGGGCTAGCACAAAATGAATCAGGACATCGACTCATAGAATTCTGTGAAGACAGCAATTTGTTCATTGCAAACACATTTCGGGCAACCAAATGGACGATTGTATACGTGGACATCACCAGGCAGCCAATATAGAAATCAAATAGATTACATACTTGGAAGCAGAAGATGGAGAAGCTCTATTCTCTCTGCTAAAACAAGAACAGGAGCCAGTTGTGGTACAGACTATGAAATACTGAAAATTAGAATAAAGCTGAAGAAAAACACCAAAACCTTCATAATAGTGCCAAAATACAGTCTAAGGAATGTTCCTGAAAAGTTTAAAAACCGTGTAAAGAACAGATTTTGGATTATTAAATTCAAGTGAATGTGAATCAGGAGAACTATGGGTTGAAACCAGAGGTATTATCAAGGAAGAATGCACAAAGACTATTCCTGTAACCAAAAGAAAAACCTTGATAGATGATGAGATTTCCTAAAGGTAAGAAACAAATTAAAAGGTGACATAAACAGAATCAAAAGTCTAAATGCAGAGTTCTAGCAACACACACATAGAGACAAAGAGAACTATTATAATAACCAGTGTAAAGAAATAGAAAAGAATGAGAACTGCCAGCTATTCAAGTTGGATTCAGAAAAGGAAGAGGCACTGAATTTATATTGCAATTTTATGAAGGGTTTTCTTAATGGAATACTATCTCAATTTTGTATAGCCAGCTTTGTTTTCCATACAGATGTCAGACATTGAAGCTAAAGTAGCTTTATTTTAGAATTTCTTATGAACCTGTAGAGAGTAGCTTATCTTGGGCATGTTTATCTTATAAGGGTAGCACAGTAACAACTGGATGTATTCTTGGCTTTCTTAATTTTTGTTAAGGAACACTAAATGACCATTTTCTTTCTATTTGCAGAAAGAAAAGCTGCTTAGAGTCCTGGATTCATTGGGTGAAACCATTTCTTACCACCAAAGTAATGTGGGCTCAGGGGCAGCAGATGCTCTTATATTACACCACAGAATGATGTTTATTAGTGTTTCACTTTTCACAGTTCGACTGCTGCAAGTGCTTCTCCCTGTGGAAAAGGTAAGAGGCCATTTTCCCTACCCACCTATGTGTTCAAGTCTACTGTAAAAACAAGCAACATATGTTAACAGTAATTTTTAAAAGTGCCCTTTTGAGATATGTGTAGGTAGCCCTGCATTTGGATCTGTCAAGCAGGGATTCAGCCACATAACTCTTTTAAGTGTAGTATGTAATTTTAATTCTCACTTAGAAAATATTATAAATGTAAAAATCTTTCATTTTGGAATATTGGGTGTGTGCAATTTTGAGAACCATGTGAATATTTGGAACTATTAGAAAACTTATTTAATGGGATATTTCCTTGTAGATAGGGTTCACCTCAATGGAAGTGTGTTTTGAGTTCAGGGGCAACCCAGGGGCAAGAGTGAGTATTCTAAGGTGGGCATCAGTGGGGCCTGTTTTATAGGCGTAGAGTTGTCAAGTGCATTTTTTAAATTCATGAAAAACATTTGGATCCATAAGTTATATTTATTGCTTGTGTGTTTCGGAGTACAGTGAATGGTTTGATTTCTAGTATGGGTATATAATTTGAAGTGTTCCATTTTGTTCAACAAGAAGAGGACAAAGGGCTGCACCAGTTGGAGGAAGGAGATGAAGCAGTGCTTCATTCTTTGTCTTTTTGCTCCGTTTTATTCAATCCATTATCTCAGAGTTTCCAGTTATGAATGTCTAAATAAATCTCTGCCATATTTTATTCTTTGTGTCAATTATGCATTATCGCAATGCAATTTTTATAACGTGGACTAAATTGTGTAATGTTACTGCAATTTTATAAAGGACTGGTAAATGTAGGTTTGATACTCTGCCTGCCATCTGGTGGTTAAACAAAAGTGCAATGGTATCGTCTGATTTATACTTCAGTTAGTCTAGTTCCGATTTAGGATTGTTTCTCACAGTGTCTCGTCTGTGCAGAAATAATGGTAAAATATGTGAAATAGGCTGTACTTCCCATGCAGCCGTGCTGTTATCTGGGCAAATAAAGATTTTGTTTGTTGATATAGTTCGGTAATTGATGAGGGTCAACAGTTGTTTAACTAATGAGGTTGGGAACATGCTGTTTTTGGTGTAGCTGGATGAGAGGTTGGTTGTACTGATGCATTCCATTCTTATTGAACCAGAGTCCGGTGCAGTCATAGTGCTTAAGTGTACAGGCAGCCATCTTAAGACATTCCCAGATGAAATTATTTATATAGACCAATTTCAGTTTGGGGCTTCTGGTCTGGTTTTGGGACTGAAATTGCCATGACCATCTGGCTTGGAAGTCCTTCACTGGGAGATAGACAGGGAAATTCAACAGGAGACATCACTAAGTTCTACTACTGCTGACTATGTGATCTGGAAATGCTATCATGATGAAAATGGAAGCCACTGTACTCCAGTGGCTTCTGCCCTGTTGCTTATGGATGTGATACTGGTGTCTGCAGCACAAAGGTTACTTTCTGGCTTTGGTGTGCCTGCCTCCCATGTCCCCTTCAGTAAAGTAAGGATTTTGGCATAGTTATCTGTACTGTTGTAATAACAAAGCTCAATTACTCTAATAGAGGGGGTTAAGGCTCTAGAGGGTCAAACTAGTTCAGAACACTGCTGCCAGGTTAACTAGCCTTACATGACTTACAGTGCAATTCTGTGCAGAGTTAGGCCAGTCTAAGTCCACTGAAATGAATGGTCCTAGAGTAACTCTCTTAGGATTGCAAAATACTACTTTTTCCTATGTGAGTTGTACAGAAGTTGAGCACTTTCACTTTCAGGTCTAGGTGGGTATTCACTGGAGGTGGAGTGTTATCTGTGATTGTACTCCAGCAATGGGACTGTCTTCTATGGCAGGTTTGTCTGGTGTCATCTTTGTTTTAAGTGAGGCATGAAATCTGTACACCCTTGAGGTGGTTAATATTTGGTTTTGAGTAGTGATGAATTCTTGTTGCTCTGTGAGCTAACTTCTGAAGGCTGAATGTACTAGTTTTTATTGCTGTTGTTCAATTTTGGTTGTTCTGAATTGTCGTATGAGAAATATAGAGGCTTGTTTTATTTTGTATGCTGTGTTAAAGGTCTTCCTAACCTGTCTTGGAAGCTCTCTCAGCCCCACCTACCTCACAGGGTGTCTGTTGTGGGGAAGGGAAGGGAAAGGAGTTTGTAAGCCGCTCTGACACTCCGAGTGAAGGGCGGGGTATAAAGCCAATCTCCTCCTCCTCCTCAAAAAATTAGAGTAATCCTTAAGCAAATTCTAAAAGAGTATAACCATATTTTTTCCCCTCATGGAAACTCAAGGTAGCTAATGAGTATATTAAAAAGTTCCTTCAAATAACTTTTAGAACACTTTTTAATGATACAGTTTAATACAGAAGACACTTGATGATCAGTCAGTAAAAATAATGCTAGGTGACATATCAACAACACTAGGTGCAGATAAGGCCTTTTTTAATGGAAAGCTTAGTAATTTGCATAACACTGCAGAGTCCTGTCCATATCATCTTTCTGAGGGTTGGAAATTGGAGCCCTTAGATATTCTTATGTAGGAGGGAAGTGAAAGAGAGAATGCTGTCCCTTAATTTAAGGCCCAGAACATATAAGGTTTATCTTGAATTGTGCTCAGAGTTCACAAATAGCCAGTGTAACAGCATGTTGTATGCATTCTTGGTGAACTAGCACCTTAATGAGACACACTACCACAGTTTCTGAACTCTTTAAGGGCAATTCCCCGTGCTCTGTCGTGTAAAAACTCTGAGTTACATAGTGCATCAATAACAACCATGACCTCTTACTAGACAGCTTCATCCTCTTGGATCGTTTATTTGTTCTGAATTCTATATACAAGTTTATGAGATCTGCAAATCAATTTTCATAGGGTTTTTTCTTTGAGGGAATTGTGTATGTGTTAAAAGGCTGGCAAATTATCAAATGTTAAAAATAAATAGCTAGTGCTTGTCTTGTCTTTAAATACCTTCTCCTCTATTATTTTCTGTTTTCTTCCTTTAGGCCAGCAAAGTTTTACCAGAAAGTTTACTGGATGCTTTATTTGTCCTTTCTGTGGACATGGCTTTCTGTCTGGAATATCCAAGTATTCACAGCTCAGTCACAGCCTATTTGGAACAAATGAATTCAGAGAACTACAGAACTTATAAGCAAACTTCAGAGGTTGTCTATTCAATTGAATGTACCTGTAACTTTATGCTGGATGTTGACAAAGAGGTAGGAAACATCTAAACATGGTAACAGAGATGGTTCAGTGTTGAATATTTGTACGCATAAACTTTGCAGTGTTGTATACAATTATTGTTTGACTAGTGTACTAGTAGGACAATTTCTGTTTAAAGAATACTCTCTCCAGCCCCACCACAACAACCGCCTCAGTTGATCCAACACTTACTTTTGACCTTTTCTTGGAAGTTCAAAAGCTGTACTTCAACATGGTAAAAGAGAGAGAAATTCTGTGATGTAGTAGTATAAGTTAAATACCTGAGCACATTTTTAATGCATCAAGTAATTTTAAGGTGACAGCTGTGTATGATTAAACATATTTTGTAAATATATTTTACAAAACTTACTGTATGTGGAAGAAACCGATACCATCAATGTTAATTTCAGCAGTGTTAATTGCTGACAAGGCTTCATTGACTTAGTCACAGTAGTTATTTGTATGCCCAGGGGTATAAGGACTTCTGGCCATTCTAAATCTTTTTTCTTTCATAGATAGTGAGGTTCTGTGTATTTTGGAGTAGGTGGGAGAGTGAGTTATGACTTGGGTTTTTTGGGGGGCGGGGAATCTCTTGACTTAGTGAATGCATGGATTTTGCCAGCTGTGTTTAAAAGCATCTTCAGGTTCTTTACATATCAATATAATTGCTTTGTAGTTTATGATTTCCTTAGCAGAGGGGATTACTGGGGGGGAAAACCTAGTGTGACTAGTTTCTGACAATGAAATTCTTGGTCCTGACGAGGGGTTCTTAATTCAGTAGTCACACGGAGGCAGTGATAACTTTCTAAGACAACTACAAAACTTGCAAAAGCATTCTTCCAAGCCCCTTCTCTATAACACCTTACCAGCTTATGCCATCTTTACATCACCTCCATTCCCACCAATTTCATAGCATAGCAGCTCAATACATCCACTCATCTGCAGAGGTTTGTGAGTGTAGCCATTAGTGTACTGCACGTGTCTAAAAATGTGTTCCCACATTCTTGGGGTCTTATCTATTGATAAGAAGCTATGCTCAACTTGCTGAAATGGCTTCTACAGTTGCCTGTTATTCTGCCAACTCCTGAGGTACAGAAGTTCATTCCTCAGCAAGCAGACGAAGCAGCACTATAAAATGGCATTAGTCAAGGTAAAGGACAATTTTTCCTTCATTTTTCCTACCATAGTGTCTCATTACAAAGTAGTGATTTAAGACAGCTCTGACATACATATGGAGAACCTGAGAAGCCTTCTACAGAATTTCTTGACTTGTGCATTGTAGCATTGTGAGCTTTGGTTCCAGGAGAAATAATTTGCCTGAAGAATTTCTCAAAACATGCAACTTTTGCCTGGGAGGCGTGTTGCATGACGTTTGCTGCACCTTTTTTCTGAAAGCAAGACAGCCTACAACATTGAATCCTGTCTGCATATTCGTCTCTACAAGATTTATATTGTCATATTCATTTGTAATTGTTATCAGTGCACTATAATCATTAGGTTGCACTGGGGTCTTTACTGTATATTATAAGTATATAATCGAATAATGAAGTTATAGTAGCATATCAGAACTGTGTGTTTTGTTTGAACACAGTGATTTTCCACATTTACTCAACCTTGCTGTGTTTCCCGTGTGTTTGCTGACATCCATATGGCCTGACTGTTTGTGATGTTTTGCCATATAAATACTGTGTGTATAACCGAACGATCGGGGAATACTCTTCATGGTAGTGCATCGCATCAGTCAACAATATTTATTTATTTTGATATTTATACCGCGCCTTTCTCCCCAGTGGGGGCCCAAAGCGGCTTAAGTTTATTCCCCCCCTCCATTTATTCTCACAACACCAACCGTGTGAGGTAGGTCGGTAGAGAGAGTGGCTAGCCCAAGTCCCTCAGCAGGCTTGCATGGCAGAGTGGCAATCTGAATCCGGGTCCCCCGCGCCCCCCTCCCGATCCTACTCTGACTATGACATCACACTGACAGGCAACTATTGTAGGGGGAAGTGCTGATCTGTTAGAAACCACCCCAGAGAACAGCAGCACAGCAAAACGTTACTATTTTATTAGGACCAACGAAAGCTGTCACAAAGCAGTGAGCAAGTTTTTGCAAGCTCCCCAGTCAGCCTGAACTGTTGATACACAAGGGAGGGGTGGGAGACAAAAAGATGTTTCAGGGCATAATGGAAACAGCCCAAAGTCTGCGGTGTGTTGCCTTCTTGAAATGCCGACAAGGAGGTGCTGTAGATGCAGTTAGATCATGGTGCTGCTTGCAAAGCAGCTTTCAAGAGGCACCGGAGTCTACTGGGATCACTTTGAAAAATCATTTACAGTGGTTTATGTTAAAGGACAATCCTGACCCTTCCCTCAGGTTCCTGGGCTGAGCCAGCAGTAAAATATAATATTGACACAGGGTGGGACAGCCAAGGTTCTTCAGGAAAGAAGAAAACAGACCACTAGGGCTGTTTGATCAGAAAGGGAAAGGAATATGGAGGGAAAATCTTGCCTCAGAGGGAGGGAAGCGGGCGGGAGCCATCACAGGGTCAAACAGAAAAGATCAAAAATGTTGCACTGTTGCATCAATGAGTTTGACTGCAAGGGTAGGGCTTAATCAAGGCGTTTGAGAGAACCATCCATTACTCCATGATATTGCATCAATAGACCTAGGGTTGCTAACCTCCAGGTGTTCCCTAGAGTTCTCCCAGATTAACGACTAATCTCCATACTACAGAGATAAGTTCCCAATGGGAAAATGGTAGCTTTGGGTGGATGCTATCTTGAACATTGGATAGACATCCTTGCTGAGCTCATTCCCTTCTCTAAACTCCACCCTCCCTAGGCTCCACCCCAAAATCTAAATTTCCCAACTAGGTTTTGGTTCTCATTCTTTTTGGCATGATGACCCACAAGTCCAAATTTACTTGGTGTGATGACCAATGCTCTAAGCTGTGGATTCTTGTGAGCAAGAATTCTACTTTGTGAGCTACTGGTATTAAAGTTGTGAGCGAGCGATAGGGGTGCCACATCAATTAGTTTGCTCTGGAGCCATCCTCCCTGAGCTAAGAAAGAAATGTGTGGGCTGGAGGCTTAAAAAACTGTGAGCTAGCTCACACTAACACAGCTTAAAGGGAACACTCGTGACAACCTACTTAAAATTTAAAATACATGTAAGGTAAAGGTTTCCTTTGCTCAAAAGCTAGTCGAATCCGACTCTAGGGGGCAGTGCTCATCTCAGTTTCCAAGCTGAAGAACCAGCACTGTCCAAAGACTTCTCCATGGTCACGTGGCCAGCATGACTAAACACCAAGGCACATGGAACACTGTTACCTTCCCACTGAAGCGGTACCTATTTATCTACTTGCAATTTCTTGTTTTCGAACTGATAGGTTGGCAGGAGCTGGGGCCAGAGACGGGAGTTCACTCCATCACGCAGCACTAGGGTCTCAAACTGCTGAGCTGCAGACCTTCCTGTCTGCAGCTTCAGTGTCTTAACCTCTGAGCCACCATGCCCCCCCCAAACCCCCACATGTACAAATTAATAAAACTTCAAGAACCTTTGACCCAGATTTACAACCAATGTTCTTTCTAAGCTGTGGAGTCCTGTAAGCAAAAATTCTACTTTGTGAGCTACTGGCAATAAAGTTGTGAGCAAGTAATTTGGCTGGTGCATAAATTAGTTTGCTCTGGAGCCATCCTTCCCGATCTAAAACAAAAATGTGTGAGCTGGAGGCTAAAAAACAGTGAGCTAGCTCACACTAACTCAGCTTAGAGGGAACAGTGTTTACAACCTGTGCTACCTGCTTTTGGATCAGCACCCAACTGTTGGGATTGGGAAGCACTGATCTGGGGCCGTTTCAATGAAGCTAGTAGATGCATGCGGATTATATTGGTATTTATATTCCATATGATTATCAGGCTTGTATGTTGAGCATTTGTGTGGCTGAAACATTACTCTTAGGTTATGAACTGTTCATGTAGGTTGCTCATATCACATCTTATATATTATGTCTCTGTATTTACTCGTTTAGGGAGAAAAGAATCTTTTTGATTTATTGGAGCTGGCAGAACAAGCCCTTAAAAGTCTTCCTTATCATCAGTACTTTCCCCTTCTCCAGAAATTTATCAAAATTTGCTCAAATGTGTAAGTATGTCACTTTTTCTTATCTGAGGGAGTATTTTCTTTCGCTTATAACCTCGTGCCACTGCTGAAGATGGAGAATGGGAGTTCAGTTAACTGCTTGTACTCAAGATATTCATTTTAACTTTACCCAACTAAAATTTATTTATGTATATGCCAACACTTTGTCAGGAACAAACAGTTCTGGGTGTTTTGTACAGTGCCATCTATTGGACATGGCTTTACATAGTAGCATAAAGAAAACTCAGGCCTCTGCCCCAGGAACTGGAAAATTAAACTTGAACATGAGAGGAGACAACCGATGGGAAAATGGCTGCAGAAGCTAGAATATTTCAGCCCAGTCCTAAACATGTTTGTTAAGAAATAAGTGTCATGGGCTCAATGAATCATAGTACTTGTTAAGTGGACTGGGAACTGAAGTCATAAGCAGCAATGCAAGTTACAACTAATAAAATAAAATAGCAGGTAACTAAATAAGTTATGAAAACCCCCGAGCACTTGCTTCCCCAAGGAAATCTATTTTTAAAGTAATGATACGATCTTGTATTGAAATCTTTATTTAGCTCATTTTGACCAAAGCTTAGCAGAACAATTTAGAACAACGAAGTGATATTACATAAAACTAAAACCGATCAAATTACATAGCAAAGTACATAAAGGATGACCACATCCCTAGGAACATAAAATCATAATGGATCATTACAGATATTTCTCTAATGTATCAGAGAAATAACTGTAGCTAAATATTTTGCAACTGGATAGGTTATTTTGGGATCAGAATCAGCCAATAATTGTGATACCACCCAAATCTCTGTAGGTAGATGCTACTTAAGCAAAATCAGGCAAATCCAGATGGACCTGGGTATTAACCAATGAGGGCAGAAAACAGATGATCCAATGTCTCAGTCATTCAAGATACACAATCACAAAGCCGTACAGAGAATGCAATATTCGTGAAATGTCCCATTAACTCTGTAGACAGGAAGGTTACAAATGTAGGGATTATAAGAGAGATATGCAGGTAAAGCCATAGGGGGCTGTATCCCTAGTGCAAGAGTAGAACATACACACCTTGCCCGAGATGATGTACTCGCCTGGTCAAGATTAGATGCCCTCATCATGATGAGTCTCAAAGCTTCATCATAAATTGTATTATTCAGCATCATGGAGAGTAATTCCAGCAGTTCAAGCTTATTATCTATACATCTTTCCCAGGTACTTCTAAAGTTATCCTCCTTTAGTAAATCCAAGAGACCTCCTAAGGAATTAGATTACAAGAAGAAAGCCTTCAGTCTTAATTTGAAAGTAGCCAGGCAGGCCCTCAAATCAAAATTATTTCTGTTTGCAGATGGAAGTCTGCTCAGGCTAGCCCATTCCTGCGTTCTGAGAGTCAGAAGCTGCTCCTTCATCTGTTGTCCCATCCTGTGCTGAATGTAAGAAGCAAAACCTATAGCTGCTGTCTTGAAATGGTTAAGGTTAGTGTTTAAAGTGACCTGTGGCTTGTGCCGAACCAGAGAAATATTTCTCATTAACTGTGTGTTCACTTGCTTTTGCATTTAATAATCTTTCAAGGGAACACTCTTTGAGAAAAGCTGCCTTAGTAGTATTCAGCCCTGTAGCTAGGGTTTTTTGGGGGGAGGGGGTCTTGGGGGGGCCACTAGCTAATTAAATCAAAGGCTCCTGGGCAAGGGGGGGGTCTGCTTGGCGCGCACCCGCACAGCCCCCACTAGATCAACGTATCCCCAGACATTTGAGATTATGCTCATGCCCTTCCGAGTTAATAGAGACCCTCCCCCATATATTATTTCATTGCTCCCACTATTCAGAAGAAAGAGCCCTTTTAATTATGCCTCTATTAAGGTCATTTAGGTTTAAAGGACAATTAGTATTTCAGTCCGAGGAACTTTTGCTGAAACACCTACTCGAGGACAAATCCACGGTTATTTCAAGGAATGTTGCTAAATTTCTTTTTATTGCAACTATAAAGCGCAAGAACTTCCTTAATACTCCTTGAGATGTTTTTTCTCTGTAATGCCTTACGACATTCTGGAGACTGTTTTTGACTGTATGTTGTTTGATGGGTCTTCGACCGTAATAAACTGATTGATTGATTGCAGTGGAGGGAGGGGGGCTGGGCCCCATGTTAGCTATGGGCCTGGTAGTATTGGGTTGATATTCCAGGATTTGCTACATGAGTTGTAATTTCTCCTGTGTATTTGTAGCTATTGGTTAAGAGGGGATGTGTTTACTGGATAGCGTTCTTCTCTGTCTTCCCACTGAATTATCTTGATTTGTAGTTCCTTTCAGTCAATATAAATGGCTTTTCACTCATGGTAGAGAAATAGGGCCATCATGGAGAGCCTGTGTGAACTAGTTTTTGACTCAGATGAAAGTGACTAGGATTTGCATTCTTGATCAGGTGTTGAAGCTTACTTGATGACCTTGGGACAGTCCACTTTCATCCTTGTCTACTTTGTTGAGTGGAGGAACCTTTCCACCCCATGAACTCCTTGAAAGAAGTTGTGAGATATTTGTAAGCTAATATGTAATGCCTGACTTGTGCTCAATCCATGGAACATGAAGGCAGTACTGGTTACAAAACTGACTTGATAACACAAACATCTTTTTTTTTTCTCTTCAGGAATGCTTAGGCATTCATAATATTGCTAAACCTACATCTTCAGTCTGCCATGAAATACATTTCTTGCTTCATCCCAAAGTTCTCTATGAAATCTGTAGTTTTGGCCTTCAAGACTCTCAACATGAGGTACCGATTTTTGTACATTATAATTGAGTTGACCTGTATGTTAAAAGGAATTGTTTTCTTCAAAGAAAGAATTATTACAGGCAGTATTAGGAGAAGGCTGTCAAGAAAGAGTTGTAATAACATTTTGATGGAAGTACTGTTTCACCAGCAAAGGAGAGCTGTGACATTCGTTGGCCCCAAGTGTCATTCAGAAGATTTAAGATGGAGGAAGGAGCCTGACAAGGAGTTCATCCATTGCTTTTCTGTAGTCCCAGCATCTGAGGGGTTTGGAGGAGGGCACTGAAGATGAAAAGACCCCCATAAACACTAAGTAGGGCCAATATGTGTCTGCCGCCTTTTACCCTGTTAGAGACTGTCTGAAAACACTTTGTCTTTGAACACAGTTGCATGCTGTCTTTGACATACAGAAGAACAGGTTTATTCATCTAGGGACTTCTGCAGTTGTAGAGGCTATATGGAGACTAGGGGAATTGGTGGTAATTATGGAAGGAAACTAGAAACTTGCTGTTTACCACTGAGCTGCTTGCCTTGAAATGTTTGCTAGCCACATAAACTTTTTGTCTAAGGTATGGAAAGGCAGTCAGGAAAGAGTTGCTCAGTGCCACTTAAGCACTCTTTTTGCTTTTTAGCCTTCAGCAGAAGTTTCTAAAACCTTTTGAACCTTATTTTCGATCTTGAGTACTAGACACCTCAAAGCTGAGATTTCTTAGGGGTGCAACTCTGTTCTCAGCAAGAAACTTGGAACATGAAAACACAGAAATATGGCAGTTCTGCTGAAGCATATTCCTATAATGTTCCTGTTGCTCCATGGGGAGCAAGCAAAGGCAGCCTTCTATCCCTGCTACTTTTCCCTCACCTTATATGCTGTGAATGTATTACCTAAATCTTTTCTGTGGGGGTGGGGTGGGGCTAGGTTTATCCGTCCTTTTCACTGATGTACCATATGCAATTCTTACATTCTACTTGAAGACTATTTGTTGTGAACAGACAGGAGGCTCATTACAGTATTTCACCACAGCCATTGTTTTCTTTTAAAGCACAAGAACTATTTGGTGTGCAGTCCTGAGGCACAGCCTAATTTCTGTTTCTGACATCAACAAATTGGCTTAGCTGCTCTTTATTGCTCTCTCTTACCTTCTCTCGTTAAAGCAGGTATCCTCAGCTGCCACATTTATGCTGATGTATCTTCTTCAGGGCCGATTGATGATGGCACCAATGACCTGGAACAAGTTTATTGAGGCCCTCTATCCTGTTGTTCCAATTCTTCAGGTAATCTCAGGTTTTCGAAGCACAGTTTATCTTGAAGTATACTTAATTGCTTTGCCAATAGGAGCGCCCTGGCATTGCACAATGGGGGGAAAATATATGAACATGGCAACCAAGCAAATAAGGGGGAGAAGAGTAATCGATGAACCTGTTTGCAGGTGTTATGGGTGAATACTGGGGAGCTACATAGCATTAAGTTTCTTAAAATAGGAAAGGCCCACAGATGGGTTCCCCCCCCTAAACAATCTGTCATTCCCATTCTTCCTAATCTTCTAAATCCTTGTTGATGATGAGTCATGTAAGGAGTCATGATTTTCTCATGCCTTTTGAAGTTTCTTGACAGTTGAATCTGCTTTGGAGTTATTGCTTAAATAATACACACATAAGTTTCCCGCCTACTTTACAGCTATGAGAATATCATCAGGGAGAGTTCATAGTAGTTCTGAGTCAAAACAAGTTATGCAGCATCTTGTCCCTTCGTGACATACATCCTTCCCTACTTCTTGGTGGGTTTTGCATCCGCTTGCTAAAGTGTGTAAAATTTCAAGTGGGTAAATTTCATGGTGG